CTTCTTCTGACCGTAAAACTTTTTTAGGGGGCTCTTTCACCTCCCAAAAACGTATAAGTATTCTCTCAATGGATGTTGTGTTTAACAATGCAATTTGCTTTCGTTGGATAGCATTTCCAGGAATGGGTCCTCCTACAATCCATCCAAATTTTGTGCTTTGAGTTAAAATTGATCCATAGATTTTCATTGGAATCCCAAGCGTAAAGATTTTTAAGTTTTTCCGAAATAAATTTTGATTGTGATCCAGAGTCTAAGAGCGCTCTGGCATCGTAAAGTTGTCCTCTGGTTTCTATTTGCACCATGGCTGTAAAGAGTTGAGTACCTCCAGATTGTTGCTGACTAATTTGCATATCTTGAAGGGTCAAAGTTATAACTGTAGCTGGTGTGGACTGTATTTCTGTTGTTTGAGCGGCGGCACTTGTTCTAGGTCGTGTCTTCAATCTAGCTAGGTATGTATTTGTAGATTGGGTTCCCGTTCCCTTATCTAACAAAGTATGATGTCTCATTGTGCAAGTTCGACATCCAAATCGACTTTTACAATCCTTTACACCAGGTGCGCTGACAAGCAGTTATAGCATAAATGAGATGTTTTCACGATATGAATTCTATCATTATCACGATATGAATTATCATAGGTCGCTGGTTCAAATCCGGTTCGAAGGACGAAATGTTTATTACTTTACCTGTGGGATGCCTTTTTTTATTGACAAGACGTTTATTTAATATTTAAAATTCAATTTAAGATTCAGTGGTTGTGGTTTTTGTGGCAAATTCAAATTATGTTTATGTGTTGTTTAAATATAATAATGAGTGTTATTTGTTGTATTTTTGTGTGAAAATTCATGTAAATTTTATGTGTGTTTTTTTGTGTTTATATTCATGTAGTTTTTATGTATGTTTTTTGGTGTAAAAATTAATATTTTTGTAAATTTTTTAGTGACTAATGATCTTTCTTCGTGTTGCATATTTGTTGATTAAATATTTTTATGATTTTTGTTGTGTGTTGTATGAAAATATTCTGTAATTATGTTTGTTAATTTAATTTTCACTTATCACTGGGGAGCACTTTAAACATTCGCGGACACGATTTCAAGACGAACTGCGTCGATGCCTATTTTGCATCAGCTTAGCAACCAAATTTGCAAATCAATTTGCTGCTTATTTACTTCCAGTCAGTTGGAAGTAACCGGTGACTGCGTATTTCTATTGGTGCAACATATATTTAAAATTTTGCCGCAGTGGCCGTTAACTCCAACTGACAGTAGAGATCAAAAGTTTACGCATTCGTAAACACAGTTATTGCAAGTTTCTTCAACTGATTTCCACAATTCTCAAATTTCTACACTACAAACCTCTTGATCATAAAAATCAATATCACCTTTCTTTAATACACCGAATTGTGTATTGAATCTAACCATAAATTTGGAAGCACGTATAAATAAGTTAATTGGAGTGGAAGCCATTTTAATAAACTGATGATAAATAATAAAAAATCATTAATTTTGTAAAAAAAATGCCACAATAAAAAGATCGATAAATAACGAAACAAAATTCAAAAATAACAATATAAAAAAATTCTGAGGAAATAGAGAAATGGAATTTATACCTAAACTCTCAAGCTCTGTATACAGTAACTGAATAGAAAGAGTTTCCTATGAGATGTCAGCTCAAATAACATTCGAAATATGTGTTATTTGAGGGGAACCACAAAAAGATCAACAAAGAATCTCAACAAGTAACCAATAATTATTTCTGTTACAAAGGAACACAACGATAATAAAGACAAAATTCCAGCTATAATAAAAAAATTGCAAAATCCAACAAAAAGTGTTATCCATTGTAGCGTATTAGGATAAAGAAATTAAAATTAAATGTTGAACATATTTGAAATCTACAAAATTAAAGGATATCCTTATTCGAATGAGAGAATAGGAGGAGATGTGTCAAGGGACTGCTGAGATTCACTGTTATAGCTACACTTATGTTTTTCATATAAATGTATGCGTTCCACCCTGTGTTATAGCTAAGTATATAAGCGTGCTATTTCTTTACTAATTACGAGCCTCCGTTCTATTTGTGAAATTACATAACATATAAATCTAGAAGCTCTTGTAAAATCAAGACGTATCTTATACTGTGCCGAATAGTGCGGGCATAATTGTTGTTACCAGCAAATTTAAGGTTAAATTTAGCAAGAATCGATCGATTGTGTTAGTGCACACTACTGAAGCGTGAAATTTTACATTCCAGTGAGTTTGTGTAAAAGATAAGTAAATTACATTGCCTCTTCTTACTGGTGAACAATTTGTTTGTTTATCTTTTGTTTGCTTAGCCTGACGATCGTTTTATTTATTGTTGTTTTGCTGTTCACTTGTCTACTAATATTGTTTTAGACTCTCTAGCATGTTTTTAGGCTGCTATAATTAATACATTGGGTATATATTTAACAATGGCTAATTTATACAAAGAGTGTAATGTAACAACTTTGACTAAAGGTTTTCCAACACGTTGGTTGTGCGAAAAAAATTCTAATTTAAGTCAAAAAGCTAAGATCTAAAATACTAAAATCTAGAACATAGACAAATGAAGATATAGACAACGAAAAGTTAGTTTTGTCTTTTTATCCAGGTGGCTCTCATCATGTTTTGCATAGTCAACATGCTGATTTACGCGTTCAACCCACTCGACTTCGAAAACACATTTTATTGTTTTTCAAAAATTTTACTTGATTATTCCGGAATTTTTTGATGTCATCACGTAATTTTCACATTTATTTTATTATGGAACAATTTCCACCCGACAAATATCCTACAGTTTTTGTTATTTTTAACGTTTTAGAATTGAGTGACTTCAATATTCCCACTCAAACCGCTGAAACGATATAGACGACATCTGCTGCTTCGATTTTTTTCGAAGATATACGGTGAGAGCATTTCGTTGTCTATATTTTCATTTGTTTATGTCTAGAATAGGTAAAATCGGAATAGCATCCATGAAGAAGGATTTGAATGCTGTACAATCAAAGTTTTACAAATTTTAAAATATGTTCCCCAAAGAGAAAGAAAACATCAGCTATTGCTCACGGTGATAATTTAATTAGTCTAAATTCACCGATTGTGGTTCCGCCTCGCAATATTACAGAAGACTTATATTCTAATAACCAACTCACGCTTCTGAAGCTGTATTCGTCTTCAAAACCTAAAATAAATTCTTTAAATTCAAATCCTGGAATCGAAGTTCAATCTTCAGAAGCAATTGTACCTTCTTCCAAAATTCATTCTACCGTACAACTAGTATCAATTAGTATACAAATGTCACATCTGGTCCTGCCTGAGAGGCCTCACCCTACTAACAGCAACGAGTTAATAGTAATAGTATAATAGTTATTAATATTTCCAGACTCCATTATAATGCTTCTGTAGAAAATATTGGCAATTATAAAAAATCAAAATACAAGAATTTTAGTGATAATGATTTAAAATTTTCAAATTTAAATCATAAATTCAAAGAGATATAAAAAGAAATGCGAAAAGTACGTCATGACATCAACAATATCCGGAATAATCAAGTGAAATCCTTGAAAAACGATAAAATGTGTTTTCGAAGTCGAGTGGGTTGAACGCGTAAATCAGCATGTTGGCCATGCAAAACATGATGAGAGCCATTTGGATAAAAAGACAAAATTAACTTTTCGTTGTCTTTATTATATTTTTTTCCTGTGAGAAGGGTATTTAGAAAATTCGAACCTTTTGACAAATTTTTCAATTTTCAAATATTTTAAAAGTTAAATTAAAACTTTCCTTTAACTTGTCTTTTCAAAAAATTTTAATATAAATCGGACCTAGTGGGATTCAGTTCAAACACATAAATTTGAACTGACACTTACAGTCCTTAAAATTCTCCTTACAAGCACATACACTTGAAGGAAAGACGATGTTTATTAAATAAACCCAAATTGGTTATGGTCGCTTCATAAAAGACAACTGACTAACTCTTTATTATTTTCATTCTTTTATACAAATAATTTCTTAGCATAATTGATGAATTGCATAAAGTAAAACAAGGTCAAATATTATTAATACAAAGTGAATAAATGAAATTGTTAAATATTGCAAATAGTCAATGAACCTAAATAAACGTTAATAAATGGCTCACATGAAAATACTGAATTAACAAACAAGAATATAGCTGTAAATACGTCACAACTAAAATACAACTTAAATATAAATATGTATGTAGTTACGTATGTGTTAACATTCTTAGCCGCGTTGACAGTGTTCAAGCAGAAACGGAGCCATTTGTCGCTGATTGGTGAGTTCTTACAGCTAGAGTAGGTGTAAATTGAGCTGGTTTGTTGAACCTTAAACATAGACAAATGAAGATATAGACAACGAAAAGTTAGTTTTGTCTTTTTATCCAGGTGGCTCTCATCATGTTTTGCATAGTCAACATGCTGATTTACGCGTTCAACCCACTCGACTTCGAAAACACATTTTATTGTTTTTCAAGAATTTTACTTGATTATTCCGGAATTTTTTGATGTCATCACGTAATTTTCACATTTATTTTATTATGGAACAATTTCCAACCGACAAATATCCTACAGTTTTTGTTATTTTAACGTTTTAGAATTGAGTGACTTCAAAATTCCCACTCAAACCCCTGAAACGATATAGACATCTGCTGCTTCGATTGTTTTCGAAGATAAACCGTGAGAGCATTTCGTTGTCTATATCTTCATTTGTCTATGGTGAGAAGTAGTGTTCGTGAGCTTTAAAATCTTTTTTATTTCCTGTGGTGGACTTATAGAATGGATGTCATTTAATCTCACATATGAAGTGTGTATGCTATTTGAGGGTTCAAAATGTCCATGTATGGTAACAAAATGGTTCTTCATGACACAGTTGGAACCCATCTCCATTATTCCGGCATTCTTGATGATGATAAGAGTTGTCTCCGTACCGCATACCGATCCATCTATTTTGACGATTCAATTGGCTCTATACTGTAGATCCAATAATATTGTTGAGATTGCAATTGGTAGTTGAATGATTATTAAAGATATTGACTTCACAGGGGTTGGCGACTGCGTTCCTCCGGAGTTTGGACCGCTGATTTCTACAGATGTATTCGTCATTCTTTTGCTTAAGGCATCTTGATATGTCCTCAGGTTGGAAAAGTATGTATTCGTCTCTGTGCGCATCTGTAGCCAAGTATAACTTTTCTGGCTTAATGGCTATTAGAGTGCCATTCCTTATTGTTGGAACGGGTACTTCCTTGAATAGTTCAAAAAACTGTTGATTGACAAAGGGTATCTTGACCTCGAAGATGACTTCATGCTTTGTCAGTGCACCCTTGACGCTCATAAGTTTATAGAGCTCAATCAAGTTCTCATCGTCCGTTGGTAAAGCATGCGAAATTGGATCTCTCAATTGATGAGAAGACAGTAAAAATTGACTCATTTTGTCATTATGTGTATCGGTAAGTACAATGATTTTCGACTTTACTCTCTGCAGGTTCATTGCGGAGAATACCAGGTACGTTGACAAGAGTCCGACAAGCAGTGAGTTTTTTAACTGGGAAGACTCTGTAGCATCATTATTATTTATTTTCTCAACTATTTCTGAGATCTCTTGTATCTTTTGTGGATTGTCGATCTCATCCTGTTTTATGACATTAATGGTAGAATCAACTATTAAAGTTTGGGCTTTCAACAGACTTGTCATGTGCTCGTGCTCGATTCTTGCCTTGCTAATGGTTTTAGACATTTCTTCCGTATAATCAGCATCAAGGACACGAAAAAGTGAACGCGCAGTATTGCCGACTATATTGAATGGAGATCTTTTAAACCGTCTGTTGGTAAATAACTCCTTTTCCTGTAGTCGTTTATTTTTTATGTGTTTGAGATTGCTCACGAACATGAAACATATCTCGTGTTGCTGAATTACAGGACACATCTGCTGCAGCGATTTTACACCGGTTGAAAGCGACATTATTTCCGATGCAAAAGGCGTTAAATCGTAATACATCAACATTTTCCATTCTGCCGTGTTAAGTTTCACTGTTCCCAAGCCTTCAATATATAATCCCGGATCATTGTGAAATTACGTTATTTTCAGCATGTCGCATAAGACCACAGGCATTAGAAGCAAGGCTAATATTACTGATAGCATTATGGGGCTATTTGCGATCTTCATTCTTTTCTTCGGGATGGTATCTTTTCCATCTTCCTCTTGCCTAGAAGAGCCGATGTCACCCTGCGTTGTCTGGTCTGTGGATAATTCACTATGCTTCTCTGGAAACAGTGGAGCCAGCCTCTGAATGGCCCGTTTGTATACTCCAGTTGATGTTTTCACATCAGCATCTCGTACAGCTCCATCGTCACCAGCGAACACATTGAGAAATATTCCCAATGGCCACTTCATCGGAGGTAAATTATCTTCCTTGATGATGACCATATCAGCTTTCCGAAGATTGTTCATCTTTCTCCTCCATTTGTTCCGTTGTTGCAGTTCGTGGAGGTATTTATCCGACCAACCTCTCCAGAACTGCTGCTTGATATGTGAGAGCAGCTTCCAATGAGATGTGCTGGAGGTCTTAACAGATTCTGCTCTGCTGTCTACTTGTGTAGTTAAGGCCTCCCCGATTGAAAAGTGTCCTGGTGTCAGTGCTTCAAGACAATCAGGATCGTTTGACAAAGGCGTGAGCGGCCGAGAATTTAGGATGGCTTCTATCTCGATTATGATCGTTTCCAATTCCTCTTGTGTTAGGTTTTCCGTTGACACTCTAAACCTTCGAAATGCGGTGCTCTTGGTGGGATGAAATGAAAGTGAATGCCTTTAGCGCTTGAGGTTGAAATAATTGATTCTTGCGCTTTATCCGAATATATATTTTCAGATAGCTCCGCTAAATTATTCTTGGCTCCAACGAAGTTCGTAGCATTGTTGCAATATATGTTTTGGCAGTGTCCACGCCGCGCAATGAAGCGTTTAAGTGCGCCAATAAAAGCTTCTGTGGATAAATCAGACACAAGTTCTAGGTGAACTGCTTTTGTCGCAAAGCAGCAGGAGACAGCTACATAAGCCTTGGTTGGTCGCTTACCCCTCACCTTGTAATGTATCCAAAATGGCCCACAATAGTCAACTCCTGATTGGCCAAAATCGTTGTCTTATTGTGTTTAACAGCGCTTGAGGTCCACTATGTTTGTTTTCATCATGAATCGTCGTAAAAAAAAAATTTACTAATGGACCGTTATATGGCAATATTATTCGATGTTTTGCCTCCGGTTGAAGCATATAATGTTCCAATCTTCCACCTACGCGATAGGCTGCATAGAGAGCTGTGTTTGCTAATTTGCTTCTCAGCTTTCAACTCTTTTATTTCAGTTGCGATTTCTGCCGATTGTATAGCATGAATAATTAACCGGAGGGAGTCATCTAACTCCTCAGGGTTAGGGGCCTTACTTCTGGGCCGCTGAGACCTTTGCATCCGCGCATTTCTTATGAATCTGTGGACGTATGAAACAATCCTTTGTAGTCTCCTGAAGGAATTTTTGTGATCGATTCCATCTATAAAGTGGATGTCAGAGGCTACTATAGCAGTCGTAGTGGCAACCTTTAACCCCATGTTATTTGTAAGAGCATTTTGAATAGGACATTCAGCAGGCCACAACTCCTCCTTTCCGTGAAGAAAAACTGGACCATGAAACCATAATCGGCTCTTATATAGGTCTACTGGTTGCAGGCCTCGAGAAAGCATGTCGGCAGGATTCTCCTTTGACGGAACGTGTTTCCATTGTTGTGGTAATGACAATGTTTGAATGACTGACACCCTATTTGTCACAAATGTCTTATATAAGGTTGACTGGGATTTTAGAAACATGGGATGACTTTGAAGCTTTAAGTCAATCCTTACTCTATTACCCAGTTCGGCTGCTACCACTGCGGCACATAGCTCTAGTCGAGGAAGTGTTTGTTGTTTCAACGGAGCAATTCTGGATTTAGCGCAGATCAGACGTACAGCTACGAGACCATCCTTTGTAACAAAGCGAATGTATACAACTGCCCCAAACGCTTTCTCCGACGCATCGGCAAACACATGTAATTGCAACTTTGCCGGAATCTGCCCACCGAATACATGTCGTGGTATTTTGAAATTGTTGAGACCTTCCAACTCGCTTTGAAATGTTTTCCAAGTAGCAAAAAGTTTTTCGGGTAATGGTTCATCCCATCATAATGCAAGTTGCCACAGCTTCTGGATAAACATCTTTGCTTTTATAACAATTGGTGCAAGCAGACCAAGTGGATCAAAGAGTTTCGCTAGCTCAGACGTAACTGATCGTTTCTTTATTACTTGACAATGATCAATATTTGCCTTCATGCAAAAATGGTCGGCCTGAGGCATCCAAAATAGTCCCAAAGTCTTTATTGTTTTGCTTTCATCAAAATCTAGATTGACTTCCCGTTCACTATAAGTTATATCCTTTAGCAATCTTGGACTGTTTGACGACCATTTTCTTAAGCTGAAGCCGTGCTTTTTCAAAATGATTATCAATTCCTTTTGCGTCTCCATCGCTATGTTTAAGCTATCAGAACCACCGAGACCATCGTCCATATAAAATTTCTCTTTTAGCATTTCTGAACCTAGGGGATAGCGATCCAAGTTGTCGTCTACGATTTTCTGTAGACACTTTGTGGCAAGGTACGGTGCTGCACGAGTTCCATATGTAACAGTATTGAGCTTGTAATAGCGATGGGTCTTTCCTCCAAATGATCAGTTGATATTTCTGATCATCGGGGTGAAATAAGATTTGTCTATACATTTTTTCAATGTCAGTAGTGAAGACAAACTTTGGTAATCGGAACCGTAGCAGGATGGAGAATAGTTCGCTTTGCACAGTTGGTCCTGTGTACATTAAGTCATTTAACGAATGACCCGATGACGTTTTCGCGGATGCATCAAATACCACCCTTAATTTTGTCGTGCTACTATCCGGTTTAAGCACACAGTGATGCGGAATGAAATATTTAGGGTTCGACATTATATTCACGTCAATTTTCTGCATGTGTCCTAGCATTTCATATTCCTGCATGAACTTGATGTATTGCATGCGGATATCATCCTTCTGAAGAAGCCGACGTTCAAGACTCATGAACTGGTTATACGCCATCGCATGAGATTTTCCCAATGTTGTTGGAGATTCTTGGAAAGGAATACTAACAATGAATCGACCGTTCTGATCCGTCTGGACATGCTGGTTATAATGAGACTCGCAGCGGGTTTACAGCGGAAACATTATCCTTTCTGTTGATGCTACTTCCTCGAGTTTCCATACTTCTCAATTGCTTGTGCCAGTGAAGTTTCACTATCGAAAATTGCTAATGTTAGCGCTGCTGATGTGACGTACGTTGATGATTGTTTTATTAAGTCGCCTATAATCCAGCCAAGCGCAGTATTCTGCAGAATTGGTTGATTATTATTCAGTTTTATTGTACCCGGTTGCAATAGGCTGAAGTAAAACTCCGCCCCGAGTAGGATGTCAATTTTTCCTTGAATATTAAAATTTGGATACGCCAATTTAATGTTCGTTGGAATCTGCCAGTTAGATATGTCCAATTCGTGATTCGGTTGTGCAGGTATAATCGTTGGTAAAACAAATACTTCCAAATAAGATGAAAATCCAGAATTGTTAGACAACATTTGCATGTTCACACGATGCTAAGCCTTCTTCTGGATTTTTCCAACTCCGTCAATAGACAAAGGGGTCTCTGTTGTTGCAATTGATAACCTTTTAATCGGCCGTTCTGAAACAATATTTACTTGTGAACCAGAATCAAGCACAGCTCTGAACTCGCCTGACATACCATTTGCAGCTATTATTTTGGTTATTATGGTGACTCTCGCAGTGGCAAGAATTACGTTCTTCTGATCTTCTGCTGATGCCGAAGAAATTACAGCAGTATTGTCTGGTGTATGATTGCTACTTGTGGTTGACGTTTGATTAAAGCCCGTTGATGATGATTGAGATCTCCTTGATAAATGTAACAACGTATTGTGTTTATTATTACATTTCTTGCAGTTATCAGATGCGCAGTTTTTCGCTATATGATCAGCCTTAAAACAGTTCACGCACATTTTATGTTGTTGTAACCCATTGGAGTCTTTCAGATTCCGACATCGCCAAGATTGATGTTATGGACGCAACAGCTTTGCTTGAACCTTTGTGAGCAGTTGCCACTTCCCCAGTCGATTCCATCGACTCAAATTGCAATTCCAAAAATGCAAACAGTTCTTTCATAGAAGGGACCTCCTTCGGCCTTTTCAACGATTGCACAAACCGTAACAAGAACCCGTTTGTTATTGTACCGTTCTTGGAGCAACAACCATGCAGTTGCGTAGTTGTCCTCTGTCAAGGCTAAGTGGCTTATGAGTTTTCCAGCTTCGCCCGACAAATTTGTTTTTAAGTACCACATCTTTTGGACATTAGGAAGATGCTGTTTGTCCACCATCTCCAGAAAGAGTTCATATAACTGACGCCACTTCAGACAATTCCCATTTAATTGAGGGATTGTTACCTTTGGTAGTGGAAGTGAGCTGTGTGCTACCAAGTCAGTTCCCAATTGAGGTGTGCTTGTTATATTGCCATCGCATTTCTCTTTCAGTACTGCCAGCCCTATCAAGTTGCTTTGAACCGCATCTTCTAGGCTATCGTAGTTGTCTTGATTCAGCCCGATTCTTGAAGGATCCTCGACCTGTTGCCAAATTTCATCGTACATGCCTGTAATTTGACTCCACAGCCCTTTAATCGACTCTTCTTTTATCACATAGACTTGGTTTGGCTGTCCCGTCTCTATATTTTACAAACTCTGCAGAAGGCGACCGAGGGCTGTCATTCTCGCTTTTAACCTTCGGGCCAGTCCCTAAACTTGAGCAGACTCAGGTTCCTTAACCTGGGCTGATGCTTGGGGTTCTGAATCATTTTCTGGCGATCTTG